TAGAGCTTACACTTTAGGATTTGAGGCTTAGGGTTTAGGGTTTAGGGTTTAGGGTTTAGGGTTTGTACCGCATTTGGGTGGAAGGAACAGTGATGCCACTGGCCTAGGGGGTCAGCAAAGCAGCAATCGACTTCTTCGATATTTTCTTTTTTAATGAATTCAAGGAGTTCTTCTGCATTATTCAAGAGGATACGAGAGCCGCAGAAGTTATTTAAATCTTCATCTTGCTGCTGTTGTTGCTGCTGCTGCTGTTGTAGCTGTTGCTGGGGTTGCAGTTGCTCCCCCAAAGAATAGACATCGCTTTCCTTCCTCCTACGCCTTTCTTCCTCGTTGTTCATATTTAATAAATGCAGAAAAAAGAAAAAAAGAATATTTATTTGCTCTAATGGAGGTCAGAGAAAGAAGAACGCGACTTTTGCCTACTACAGCTGGTAAGGGGAAGAAAACAGAAATGCTAGCGGAATTAGGGTTTTTAAATTGATATATAAATAACAACGTAATTTAATAAAAGGAAAACACAACGAAAAACAAAATAAGGACATAAATAATAACCAATAGAAATTGTTTTGCTGTTGTTGTTTCTCTTGCAGGTTTGCTTGCTGCAGCCGACAAGCAGATGCTTTTCCTGCATGCGTCTGTGTTTGTGTTTTATCTGTTTCTTTTCTTCGTATTTTTGTGTATTTTATGCAAAAAGTAAACATTTAATTCATTGCTTTCCACTGGTTATGCGCCTTTGGCGCTGATTCTCGCTTGCGGTGTTGTTCAGGTTTTGTAGCTGTACGTACACCGGAAGCACTGACAGGCAATCGCTGGTGGAAAGCTGGGGTTATTTTTCTTTCTTTTTGCATTTCAAGATGATTAAGTTCATTTTAATGGTTAATAAACAAGGACAAACGCGTTTATCGCAGTATTATGAATTTTTAAGCGTTGCAGAGCGCGCAGCACTTGAAGGCGAACTTATACGCAAATGCCTTTCTCGTTCGGAGAATCAGTGTTCTTTCATTCAATATCGTCAGTACAAAGTCGTCTATAGACGGTAAGAAGAAAATAAAATGCATAAGCAGTCATTTCTTAAGAGTTTCAGCAGAAGAAAGAAAATATTAACAACACAGAAAGAACCCGTGCAAGTGTTGCCTCTCTTCGTTTCCACTGCGTTGTTCATTTGTAGACTCACGGCAAATAGTTTATTTAAATTATATTTCATTAACGTATGCAGAAGAATTTGTTCTGTCTTTCTTACAAACGTGCATGCATGCATACTTCTATACAGGTTTTGCATGCATGCATACGCATGCATGCATGCCTATTCTTATGCATACATAATATATGTGGTTGCATTTTTTTGTTTTTCTTTGGGTTTTGCAGGTATGCGAGTTTATATTTTATTGTGGGGCTGCTGGATGAACAGTCGGTGAATGAATTAGCTATATTGGAGTTAATTCATTGTTTAGTGGAGACACTCGATCGTTACTTTGAAAATGTTTGTGAATTAGATATAATGTTTCACTTAGAAAAAACGCACTTTATTATCAGCGAAATGATTGCAGATGGATGCATCATAGAAACAAATAAAGCCAATATCATGGCTCCAATTCAAATGCTAGAAAAATCTCCCTAATTCGAGTGTACGTACACCTCAACGACTTGCAAGCAAAATCATATCGTTCAAAGACGCTCTAACCATCTTTACTTTCACATTTTCCTTCATCTTTGTCCCTCTTGTCACAAACTCATCATTCTGCATGCATGCATGCAGTTGATGAGTTTGTACATGCATGCATGCATCCATGCACGTATGCATGCATGCATACGAACATGTGCGAAGGATATATGCATGCAATGATATGTAGTTCTCCCGTGTATGCATGCATGCATTTCTTGCTTTAACTGCATGCATCCATGCATGCATGGGTGCATGCGTGGATGCATGCAAATGCATGCAGACGCATGCATGCAGACGCATGCATGCAGACGCATGCATGCAGACGCATGCATGGATGGATGCATGCAAATTCATGCAAACGCATGCATGCAAACGCATGCACGCAGACGCATGCATACATGCAAATGCGTGGAGTTGGGTGTAAGCGTGGTGTTTGCTGCGGTGTATAATTAATTGCTGCTGCATCTGCTGCATGCAGCAGCTATCTTGTTTTTAAACGCTCGCTGTCCTGAGCGTGTTTTCTGCAGTTTTGTTTATAACTCATCTATAATTCTTATTCTTTATTATCAATAATATAATTATTAGTATTGTTATTATTAATTATTACTAATAAAATAAAGCAGAAGATATTCCTTATGCCGCCTTTTAATATAATTATCATTTATTCAGAAATGCATGTTTAAAGGCTTTAAGAAGTTTAATTCAGCAAAAAGAAAAATAAGCAACAACAAAAACAAAGAAAGGACAAAGGGAGGTTTGCTTATCCTAAAGAACACACGCATACGTGCTATATACTTAATGCAATATATATATATATATATATATATATATATATAT